TAACTTCTCTAACTGCAAAAGCGGCGGACGGAACTGAGTTTACCTGCAAGTGTTGAGAGATGGAGAGTTTCACTGGAGTTTAGAATCTAATATCATGCCTAAAAATACTATTTATTCAGCTATTTCCAATGTTTCATTATTCAGAATAAGACTAAAATGTTGCTTTTTTACGTTAGGCAATGTAAATTCAAATTATTTTGTTTTTTTTTAACGTTTAATGCTAGGTTATTTAATTCAAACCAGCGAAATATATGCAACAATGCACTGTTTACTTCGTCATAATTAGGCTTACAACGCTCAATTTTAAAAATTAAGGAGGTACAATCAGCAAAGAGTACAATATCGCATGATTTTTTTGTAGAAAAATAAATCATTTATATATTTTTTTTAAATAAAACTGAGAGACTGACTCTCCCGTGACCATGAATGCTATAAAGCATTCGAAACGTCGGGAAACAAAAATCCAAATAAATCCGCGACAAAATCCGCAAAGATAGTTTTATTTAAAATGTCAAATATTCGTGTAAATCTAAGAAAGTATCATTAATATATATTAAGAATGAAATAGGGCCAAGAATAGATCCTTGTGGAACTCTGAATTCTCTGATTAAGGTAGGAAGCAACAAAGCCAAGCCCAGCGCCCTGAATGCCATAGTGATTCAGTTTATAATATTGACCATGCAATATCTTATTTTACCTATGTATTTCTATCAATTTAAATAAACCAATAAATTGTATTTGGCCTTTTTTAATATTCCACTGCTGGGCACGAGCTTTCTTTCAATACAAGAGGGATTAGGTCATTATCATAGTTCTTGCGCTCCAAACAACACCCCTGGACCTATTCATACAACAAGAAGCGACCATGTCTGCCATAAGGCTGATGCACTTAGGTCTTTGGGGCAAAAACCACCATAGTCCACACACATCCATCCTGGATAGAGCAATAAATCATGAACCACTTATTGCTGCCCCGTGTGACAGAACACACAATAAATATATATTTAACAAAAGATACAAAATAACTATGAGAGAAGAGGAACAAGACCTACCTACGTACGCACGGATGGCTCTAAGACACGAGAAGGCTCAGGAGCTGGTCTATTTTCCCTTGATCTCAACATCAAAACACAAATACCATTAGGCATACACAGCTCGATTTTCCAATGTGAATGTGTAGCCATAACGGAAACCGCAAGAACCGTGCACAGTCGTGGGGTAAACAACTACGATATAAAAATACTCTCCGACAGTGCGGCAGTTCTGCAGGCGCTAAATAACAAACAAACCAACAACAAACTAATAATTGAATGTCACAACGCCCTGGACTTGATATCAACAACAAATCAAGTCACCCTTCAATGGATCAGGGCACGCAGTGGCTCACTTGGCAACGATGCAGCTGATGAACTTGCAAAGAGGGGGTCAAAACTAGAAGTGACTGGCCCATACCCGCTTCTCCCCATACCCTTTGCACAGATTCGCACCTGGATCCACCAAAGATCTACGACGTTACAAAACAACAGATGGTCGCAAACTGCATACTGCAGACACTCTAGATCAGCTCTGCCTGCAGTAAACCCCACGACTAACAAAACGCCTACTAAACCTCAATAGAACAAATCTTAAAATAATGATAGGGACGATAACGGGCCACTGTCCCTTGAACAAACATTTATATAACATCGGCGCAACGGACACCCCTCTGTGCAGAGGGTGCCTTGGCACTGAAGAATCAGTTGCCCACGTAATCCTGGAATGCGTAGCGGTAACTTTCCAACGTGAAGAAATCCTCGGACCAGTGAGGTCACTCCGCGAAGCCTGTGAAGTTCCCAGGAGACTTCTGCGCTTCTGGGCGGAGCTCGGCTGGCTAATATAGCCAGGATTCGCACGCACAACGGACCAGAAGGGAGTCTAAGTGCGGAAAACGAGTCCACTACACATTTCATATTTTATCACAGATTTTGGTTTTATTATTGGTAATTATATAGGAATTCAAAAATAATTAAGAACAATTTCTCTCCAAATTGCTTTGTGGTTTTAGCGTAATTCTTAACAAAAGCACGTTGAAGTAACAATGGTTCAAGATTGTTTCGGACGTGAGGGCTTTAACAAGATGACATTCTACAATTGTTGAAGTATGAATTTCAACAAAATCTGTGAATGACATGGTGTGATTCTATACTATAACGATTGTCATTTAACTTTTATTTACAATAAAGAAAATTCCAAATATACTTAATTATATACAAAATATACAAAAGTTAAAATGTAGACTTAGTTATTACTGTACAAGTCATGTTCGCGTGGAATAGTAGCAAGAATGCTAGCCGTATTTCCCTGTTGAATGACAATGCCGATTCTATGGGCGAAAACGAGCCAGGTCTCCTGTTACCAGTAGAGGCGAGGTGTTACGCCTTTTCAGAAGTGTTTAGCACTTCGACTCCATAGGCCAACACATTTGCACACGCCCATACGTATACATTTACAAACGCACACACATATGCACTGACACATACACTCACACATTACGTTTGATGTTAATCTTATTACCATGATAAATTATGTAGTTGATTCTTTGCTTTTCTTTTTAATGTATTCTGTTTTTAATTCTATAACTTAATCCAAATAATGATTAGTGTAATCTAATGTTGTCCTTATTTATTAATTACAATATGCCCCAATTGCATGTCTATTCATGCAACGTTGTAAGATTACCAAATAAATAAAATTACTATTTAATGATTACAGGATGACATCATATTAAAGTTCTATATTCAACGAATTCTCGACCCACTATTACATTAGAATATACAAATCGCTGCCACGAAAAACTTAGGTACATATTAATAGATGAGTAAGTACTCTACACAGACAAAGTATCAAATAACCACGCAACGATATGTACACTACACTGATGAGCTTTCGTACGCGCCCGTTGATAGAACTGGTTTTTCCTGCTCAAACTGTTGACAATGTTAGATTGTCTACAGAAAATACACACACCGCCTCAAAGCTCTTCAGAGGCAAAGCTTTCTACAACCACGTAACGATAGTTACACTACTACATCTACCTGTAGAGAAATTTTCTCATGTTATAATATAGCATATAACATATTTCGTGCACTTTGTTCTTATATTTTTCATTGTTTTTGTTATTTTTTTCTATATTGGTGGGTTAGAAACCAACACTATGCTTATAACCCCCTTTTTGAGTATCGCATTTTTCATATTCAAAATTTAATATATTTATATAATAATGTCTTACTCTTCCTTAGCTCGAGTCTCCTAAATTTCAACCAAATCAGTGCACTCGTTTCAGCATGAAAGAATAACAAACATACACGCACATAATACCTTTCGTATTTTTAATAGCAATGTGATGAAAACATAACTATAACCTTCATCACATAACATACTGACAACGACTATACTACTGACAGACTCTACACTACTCCTGAGCCGTGACTCCTGACAGACTGTTATTTAATGAAGGTTGTACGGTGCGTCTCTAGTTTGTATTTAATTTCCTTATCACGTTAAAAATTAAAATTGTTTCGTTTCTGAAAGAAGGACAGATTTAACATACACACATTCGCATTTATAATTTCTTCTCGCATTTAGTCAGCGTGGAGGATGGTAACTTAGTAGATGCTTAGTAGGGAAGCTCAAATTATATTATTTCTATTAAAAAAATCTATTATTAAATAATATTTTGATATATATAATACAACTGTGGTTTAGAAAAGAAAACGACGAATGATAAAAATAAAAGTTTTTTTCCTGTTCCGTGATGAAAACATTAATTATGATGAAAGATAAATATAATATAGGTACAGATTTAAAGAAAAAAAGTACTTACGATAAATTTAAATTTAATTTTATGATACTAAACATGTGTACACTTAATAATTAATAATTTGTCAAACCTAACCTGTAATAAAATACCTAAACCTAACCTGTAATAAAATACCTAAAACCTGTAATAAAATATCAGCAATAATAAATCGAATAAAAATTAGAATTATTATTAGAATACATTAAATTACAGCCATAGAAAAGTGGTGCTCCAAGCGGATTGTTTGAGAACTTGTCATCATGGATGACAAATAAAATAGATGAATTAGTTCCATACGAGCTCTTGGTGGATCTATCTATCCCTTTCATTTGCTTGGTAACTAGCATGCTATCTCTACATTTGGCGACAACGAGTGGGACAACAACTTATTTCTGTCGCAGTTACATACGTCACTACTGTGATGTCACTGCAATATTTTGTCATTTTTGAAATTTTCAAGTTTTAACCGTTGTTATTACTCGCCCCTGGGGACTAGGGTGTGAGGGCTTGCCGTTTTTTATATTATTTTACACTTAAAATTTACATTTTATCAATTTGTAGATTAGTATTAATTAATGTGGATAATTACTGATTAATGTAGATCAGTGATATAGTTAAGATTTGTGCTTGGATACAAAATTTGTGATTTCTTCATTAGTGTTTCCTTCCTTTTTTTGGTTTTTTATTAATGTTGTGTGATCATGGGAAAGCATTGTAATTCCGAATTGTCAGGAAGGAACAGAAGGTTTTTCATGCCATAGAATGCCTTATAAATATGCACTTCAATTTTATAACGTATACTTATAGAAATTCTTATAAACAGTGTTTATTCTAGAGTAACTCTATCTGACCAGGGTTCTGCCAATGTAGTTGCAATAAATTCATTTATTTCTGATACTAAGGTAAATATACTTTGTAGTGCCAATGATGCATCAAGTGCTATCCATTATGAAGTTTATGGGAACAAAACCTATCATAAGTATGATGTACCTCATTTACTGAAATGTTTCAGTAATAATTTTCAGAAAAAGAATTTGCTCCTTGGCAGTCAGCGTGCTCAATGGAATTATGTTCATATGTTGTATAAAGTAGATGACCATAAAGGTGCTGCAAGGCTAACAAACTTACTGACAGGCATATTTGTCCAAACTCTTTTGTTAAGATGAAGGTAACTATATTGTTAAGTTTAGTAAATTAAGATATTATTATATTACTTTAGATCTTGGATATTATCTTATCTTTAATATGAAATTGTTTTTAAGAAGGAAACTTCTTGAAGCTATTGATATTATTATACTATTTATTATTATACTATTCTATTCTAATATGTAAAATTGAAGAGTTTGTTTATTGTTTGAATGCACTTATCCATGTAATGCTCAGTCCATTAAAAACAATTTATCAACTCTGTAGCCTATCTATTGTATAATGTTAAAAGCTATTTAAGGGCCTAATTGGCTTATCTACCTAGACCCTAATAATAATAAATTATTACTATATTTAAATAAGCTACTATTCATCTATAGTAGTTACTAGTACATATACTATAGTTATGGTGACTATTTGTTGTATTAAATTAATTTATTATAATAATATATTTACAGGTGAAGTATATGCTGCGCAGGTGTTTCAGCAGTTGAAGTGTTTCAACATCTATAAGTCTCCAGATAAAGGCTTTTAGTTTCCAGGAAGAACACAATTATTGTAATACATTAAATGTAAATATTGAGAATGGCTTATTCACAGCTGAGATTATTTTATTCATTAATAATAAAATACATGATCCTTCTAAGAATATGTCATCTCTAGTATGGTATGCAATTTACATAATTGAAAGACAATTATCAAAGATTTGTAAAGTTTACATATTTCCCGATTTAATAAAAGCATTTGAAAATCTTGATACCTCTTGGTACACTTGTGTAGATCATAGAGAAATATTTTTAAGAGCATTCTCATTATTTATGATAGGTATAAAAGTTAAACAAAGGTGTATAAATTTTAATTGAAGATGCATAAAGTGGATTCGAGAAAAAAGGGTCTGGAAATAGAAAATTTGCTTAATGTGAAAGTTTCAGAAGGGCCTAGCTATGGTTGAACTCATCTAGTCTTCAGAGTAGTGAATGATTTTCCAATATTTTTTCATTATTTAGTTCATTAATTAACTTTTAATATTTATGACTCTTGTTTGTTTCATTTCTTGGTTATTTAAAAGATAATCACTTAGAATTTTCCATTTTCATTATGTTTCTATTAAGTATAAAAATAATGTATGAATATTTCATTTGATTTCTGTGAAATAATATTATAATTTCTTAAAATATGCTACTATAGCAGTATATAATTTTAATATATTAATTATAATTGTTACATTTGATAGAACTATATATTTAGAGATTTAATTTAGAGTATGTTTAGCTGTTATTTCTTTTTACACCAAATTTTTACTATTACTATGTACATTTTGATTTTAAATTTCTTAAGCTTTTAAGAAAATTAAATTTATTATTAATTTTTTACTGAAATTTGCATTTTTTATAAATTTATATAAGATTAAAATGTTTGTTTTTTCAAATGCGCTAATCTCCAATCTTTGCATTTTATAAACTGAAGAGAAGGTGGTTCTAAAGCTAAAACTTCAAACAAAAGCTAGATTTTAATTTATACCTACAAGTAAACCTACTACTCGCTTAATATGATATTGTTATTAACGAAAACTATTGTTCTATGTTACTTCTAATTTTATTGCATTGTTATATTTTATACCAAATCGTTGTACTAATTTATATTTTTTGTATTTTGTATTCAATTGATAAAATTCTTTAAAAATGTCCTTTTATTGTAATAACAATGTATTATAAATGTTAAGAAAAAAAAGGTTATCCCGTCAAGGACCTCAGTCCTTGCTAATTCTTCTCAGGTCTGAGGCATTTTTCCGAACTAGTGGTAGCATTAAAAAAGTAAAATAAAATAACGAGAAACCTATCTTTGTATTTTATTTCTAATAATAATTAATATCATAAAAATGAAAACCTTACTATAAAACCGACAACAGTTGTTGAATACCGATAACATTACGATAAAATACATCCCTACTTAATCGTAATCGTAATGAATACCGATTTTTACATCACTACGAACTAAATTCTCCCAGATTCTCATATGACGTCATACCCTTAGAAAGAGATGCGTGGCGACTCAAAAGAAATACAATAGCCGTGAAAGTGACAGCATATTTCGACTTGCCATTTATGCCATAACTGTCCCCATATTAAGGCAAATATCATGACACAGCTCTAAAATATAAATCAATTTTTATAACATAAAAACCTATGTTAATAGATATTTTATGTTTGATATGAAATATAATTAAAATATAAGATATTCGATAATATTTAAAATCATTTAGAATATAGTTATATAAATCAATATATAGCACATATGATTTATAAAAAAAAAAACATTTTAAGCATATTTAACTTAAGTATATTTTATAATATAATAAGATATTAATTAACATATCCCATGTAGCTATTTTTAATTTATAATGGTTAAATCGGGAAAAATCTTTCTTTGACTATCTTGACCCCCCCGGCCCCCGCTTCGTCTTATTCGCCTTCGGTTTTATGAATATGCGCTTGTATGGAGCTCGGCCGGGGCTGCTTGTCATTACACAAATTATAATCTGTGGTTTTATTTTAGCACATGGCATTTATCTGTGTTTTGAGAGGTTCTATTCGTATTTCGTAGTGAAGGGGAATGCCCCAGATAGATTTATATTATTTGTGTTTAGACTTTAGATTTTGTTTAAAATTTACACGCATAATATCATTGACCGATATGTTTAATTATAATTAACCGATAAAATGGTGTAAAGTTCTAATTATAACTATGTCTGCTGCACAGGCATCGGAAACAAAAACAAATTTAATAAAAATACCGTTTATAAAAAGGAAAGCTTTTAAAAAATATAAGCTTGTGTTCCCTAAAAATGTGTCTCAGAATGAGTTTAAGGAGGATATTATATATAAGGCCAGTGAAAATGACTTTTTGAAAGGGAAATACCCAAACCTAGTTATTAAAAACACTTTAAACATTTTAAAATGTAGTAGTCGGACTGTTGCGACGTATACAGATGGTTCGTCTAAAGTTGAGCTCACATCTGACGCAGTGACTAGATTGATCGGTCAGAAGAAGTACGACACACTCTTCACTGCTTTATGTTCCATCATAAATCCAGAATTAAGAGTGGAAGCAATATTGTCATTATTAACTTCAGTGAACCAAGTGTCTGTGGAAACTCAATCTTATTTATCGTACAGTACGCAAATAAAGAAGCAAAAAGTTTTAAAAAGTAAAATTAAAAGAAAAACTGTGACCACATACCCTGTCCCTGACTATATAGCAGCCGAGGGTGAATTAAAAAAGGTTGTGATAGATCCTAAAAATGTCAAATTAATAGAACCTGAAAATATTAAAAGGGAAATCAGTGAATGTGTCTCGAATGAATCAATTGGTCAACTACGAGACATTAGTGACCTATTAGATGATAGTAGTAATATATCAGGAGCAAGTTTTGGTTCCCTCTCTATTGGATCCCTTTCAAATATTTCTTTAAGTAAATTAAACATTGATATTTTCACCGACCCCAAACCTAATAATAATGAACACGCAGAAGGAACCATATCAAATGAAAAAACAAGCATAACAATGCTTGATGGAAGTATTATTAATATAAAGGGTAATCCTGATATCTTCCATATAGCTTCTTCTGAAATTTTAAAAGATCTATCTCCTGAAGAGCGGAAGAAAATAATATGTCATCAAGCCTATATTGATTGGATATTCTGTGTTCAAAGGGATGATGATGGATACTTGTGAGTACTACGTTTTCATTATAATTTATTAGTATTTCTTTTACTCAATATATCAAATATTAATTTTTTTTTGCTTACAAACTAATGTTAATGTGCAAATTTTTATTTATTTATAATAAAGGTAATATATTATTAAAATTACAATAATACTTAACTATACATACTAAACAAATGTATGTGTTTAATTATTATTAACGACCTGGCTCTCTTCACCATTAGAGGTACTAAGCCGAGGTGTTATGTCTTTTAAGAAGTGTTTAGACGTTGACTCTTTGAGTCAAGATTTACTAGTAATAAAATTATACATTAAATATTAGGGACCAAACGAGAAAATCAAGTATGTTAGTTTTGTAATGGAATAAAAAACAAATGTTAATATTTTTTTAAATAAAAATAAATTTTATGATACAATATTGTCAAAATAGTAATAATTTTTAAATTTGATTTACTATCAGTTAAAAAACCTAATTCTTTTTATGAGCTATTTTTCCTTTTAAATATAACCCTGTAAATCTAATTATCTAAATGTTATATACATGTAGATGATTAGTTAAAATTAGGTAGAGTATTACAAAAATTTTCTGAGAATTATAACCATTAATCATAATGCGTTCTCAGATGGACAGACAGACAAAAATTCTAAAAACTGTAGATTTGGCCTATGTATCTATGTATATTAATGACTATTTAAATAAGGTTTTTAAAAAAATATTTATTGTATAGATTCCATTCAGTTAGAATTTTATTACTTATATTATGTATAGATAACTTCTTGTATGCATTTATTAACGACCAGCTTTTCAGGTACTTTCCCTTTTGACACGAGTGTGTTGCATGCTTAAATTTTTAATCCCTTCACGCACGTGGACACGCTGGCGTTACAGCTGTTAACAATAGATTTCTTAAAAAATTAATTAATTTCTTAGAAATTTAATTAATTTCTTAGAAATTTACCTAGAGTGTTAATTAAGTTTTAATTGTATACATACAAGTTATATGTTTATAAGTTCTTTAAATTGTTTTAGTATGTTATAAAATATCATATTTAATTTTCTTAAATATATCTGAAATTACAGAAAGTATTTATTTTGTTACATAACAAAAGTAACCTATGTCCTGGTCCAAGATCCCATCTATCTTTATACTAAAATTCATTAAAATTGGTTCAGCGGTTTGGCCGTGAAAATGTAACAGATAGACAGACAGACAGAGTTACTTTCGCTGGATTAGGATGGATGTCTAATGTCTGTAGGCAAGCATGTAGTGAGTGATCCTGTACCATTAAAACGAGGGAGGTTCTGTTGGGTTTTAGTGGGTAGTTACTGTCTTTTCTAGCCGGTGAGACCCACATAACCACCTGTATGTATACATAGTCTAGGACCAAATGCATTTGCTTTTGCTAACGTTAAAAAATGGCCGAAAATCAAATAATTAACTATTTCGGCAGGAATTAGGCTCCTAGACTAGTAATCCATACTTCCATACTTAATATTATAAATGTGTTTGTTTGTTTGTCCTTCTTTCACGCCGAAACGGAGAGAAAGATTGACGTGATTTTTTGTGTGGAGATAGTAAGAGGGCTGGAGTTACTTTACTTGGTTACTTTTTTACCGCGGGAGATTATCTCGTTCCTACGGGAAAACACGTTATAATTCAACCCAAAAAATTGCTTATGATCAGAATAACTAAAAATATGGTATTAATGCTCTTCAATATAATTCAATAAAAGCGGGTTTTAGCATATTTCGAAATTCATCCCGTAAGGGGGTAAAATAGGGGATGAAAGTTTGTACGAAACCTACCTTTTTAGAGTTTGTTTTTGTACTTTTGTTTTACTGTAAAATTATAGTATTATTATAAAATGTAAATCGAATTGATTTACTTTTAATACTTTCTTAGATTTACGCTAATATTTGGATATCTTTGAGAAATTTTCGTGTATTTATTTTTGTTTTTTTCTTGGTTTCTAACGTTTCGAATGCAATGTAAAATTTCATTAAAATCGCTCCAGCCGTTTTAGAGTTCATAGGGAACATATATACACACATATATTTGTATATGTATAGATATAATATGTATAATTTACATATGTGATAAGATTAAAATAATGGCTGCTATTAATTACTCATATAAATATTTGCTTCACATATAATATGATTGTTAAATACAACGTTTATTTAAACATTAGCAAGATATTAAGATATTGTTATACGTTTAAAATTATATACAAGTCATTAGTATATTGTTACTTCTGCTGGATCTTTAGGTTATTCCCCTTGTCGTCGATCTATAGAGAAGGACAGATATACATGATGATGTTCTCCCGACCGATTCCGGCCACGGCCGCCAATCTCATTCAGACTAGCCAACTGCGCAGGAGATATTATAGTGCACAAGTGTACGTGCAGACACAACGTACACTTTCTATTCCAGTCACTCTCATACTCCGGTGGGACGACTACTCGACACGACCGGTGAGAGGCGCAGGACCGACGGCTTTACGTGCTCTCCGAGGCACGGGGGTGAAACTCCGCCAACTTCCCAATTCCGAGCTGTTATTGAGGCTTAATATACAGAAAGACTCGATAACTAAACTTGGCCCGACCCGGGACTCGAACCCAGGACCTCCGGGTGTGCAGCCGTACATGCTAGCCACTACACCACCGAGGCAGTTAGATATTTATTTAGATATAGTTAGATTAGACAAAAGATAATAATACATATAGTAGGCACATCAGTCTACTCTAACTTGTGTCCAAATATTTGATCGAGATACAATCAAATATTTCTGTCAAATAACACAATGGGCAATCCATATTAATATTATAAATGTGAAAGTTTGTGAGTATGGACGTTTGTTACTCTTTCACGCCAGAACGACTGAACGTCTAGAATAACACATAGGCTACTTTTTATCCTGGAAAAATGTACGGTTCCCGTGGGATAGGTCTGTTTTTTGTTTTCCTAGAGGCGAACCCGACCTTAGTGAGGATGAGCCGTTAGTGTTGTAATATTTTCTTAGAGATTTACGCGTATAATTGACATTTTGAATAAGTATACCAATTTTTTTAACGTTTTTATTTCATTTTTTGGTTTTCGTTACTTTATGTGTCGAATACTTTACTAGCAAATGTCTCTGTCAATAGTACAACGAGCCTCCCGTGACCATGATCACGCAAAATATACTGAAAAATAGTTATAGCAAAATAACACTGTGTTTATCTATACTAATATTATAAAGAGGTAAATTTCGTGAGATTGTAAGTTTGTGACGTTGTAGTGGGTAATCTCTGGATCTACTGAACCGATTTAGATGAAATTTGGTAAGAACATCGTTTGAGACCCTGGGAAGGACAATGGGATGATATACTTATGGGAATGAAAATGGGGATGAAAGTTTGTATGGGGAATAAACCTAGGGACGAACCCGAGTCGACGTCGCTAGTCAAACATATTTTGCATAGAAGAGACCCCTTTCATAGACAAGGCCTGTGGTACATCTCTTATTCCATACTAGCGGCTCACTCTGGCTTCGATCGGGTTCGCCTCTAGAAAAACAAAAACAAATTATCCCACGGAACCGTGCATTTTTGCGGGATATAAAGTAATCTATGTGTTATATAGCTATATTTTTATAGTTTCATAAAATCCATTTAATAATAATAATAAATAGTATTTATTGCCATAAAAACAGTAAAAAATGTTAGCAGAATCAGTAAGGCTTAAAGTAACTTATGGCAAAGGGTAATAACTCAGCTAATGCTGCTAAGACCTAATTTATCTCAAGCAGCGCTGATTTTCAGTTACACCCAGCTCCCTAGGGTGTTGAGCGGGAGCAATGCAAGAGGACTATTCCTCCAGTTAACCTCTACAAGATTAAAAAAAAAAGTAATGAAAACAAAAATAAAATTTAAAAAATAAAAGTATTTGTGCGCGCGCGCGTGTGTTTGTGTTTGTGTGGTATGTGTGTGTTTGTGTGTGTATGTGTGCGTGTATGTGCGCGCGTGCGTGTGTGTGAGCGCGTGCTTATGTGCGCGCGTGTGTGTGTATGTGTGTGTGCGCGCGTGCGTGTGTGTGCGCGCGTGCTTATGTGCGCGCGTGTGTGTGTGAGTGTGCGTGTGAACGAATGTATGTGTATATTAATGTATGTACGTGCGTGCTTGTATGTGCGAAAAAATAGAGTACAACGTACACGCGTGATTCGTTTCAGAGCGGAATTTAGTAGTTTTTGCGTGAAAGAGTAACAAACATCCATACATAGACATGCAGACATCCTCACAAACTTTCGCATTTATAGTAAGAAGTATTGATAATTTTCGCATTTTTGTGTACTCTTTGTTTTTAACTGACTTCAAAAAGGAGGAGGCTCTCAATTCGGCTGTATTTCTTTTTGTTTGTTTGTTGCCTCAGAACTCCGTCTATTTTTAATCGATTTGGACTATTTTTGTTTTTTTTTTGAAAGTGTATACTTTCAGATTGGTCCCATTTAAATTAAAATAAAAATACCACCCCTAATGGTGGAAAAATAGCTAATGATAAATTTAACCTACTTCTAATTGTCATATTGACTTGAAACTTCGCAAGTGTGTCTATTTCCGTTGATAGTACAGTGGTTCGGTATCGTCGACCTAATTTGATAGTAAGGCCAGAAGGTGGATAGATGGAATTCTTCAACGGCTAATAGCAGATATTTTTTAGTGTGTTTGAGTGACATAAGTACAGAAACACGAATGGACATGACAAAATTATAAGGATTCCGTTTTTGCCTTTATGCTACGGAACTCTAAAAATAATATTAATGTCAAGAATAAACAAAATGATATGATCAATTCAAATACTCAACGGAGATGGAAGGTGCGACCTTAATTCTAGTAAACAGCCAAGACACGTGCGTCATATCGCCCGATGACTATGATTTCTCTAAATTGCTATTACGTAACATACTGTAGTTTGTCTCTAGTGTTTTGTGTCGTTTAAAGTTCAAGAATGGATGATCTAATAATGATGAAACTTTTGTCTTCACGTTATTTTGTGTAACGTTGGGATGTGGAGTCTTACTGGGTAGAAAAGAAAGTGCCACCCATTAAAACCCAAGGAGCCTATCTCGTCTTAATGGGGCATCGCAGTCGGGGTTTTTTGTATTTTTTTTTATAATAATTTTGATAAGACCTATAAGACAGTATTATATGTGGGTGATGTTTTGAATATAATAAAACATTCCTTAAATGTTTATCTCTTTTTCAGGTAAAAGTTAGTACTTTGTTAGATTTACGCGAATATTTGGTACTTTTCGGATCTTTTCGTGGATTTATTTTACGAAAGAGTCTCTCCCGTGACTATGTGCGCTGTAAAGCATTTGATCCGTCGGGAACCAAAAATCTAAATAAATCTGCAAAAAATCCGACAAAATAGTTTTATTTTTACAAAATGACAAATAGACGACACATTGGCTCAGTTTGTAGTGACTCCACTCGCTATGCAAGCGGTCGCGGTTTCGAGTCTCGCTGGGGGCATTCATTTGTGTGATGAGCATGAATGTTTGTAGTCTAGTCATGGATGTTTATATTTATAATATGTATGTATTTAAAGTTATATCCTCCTGGGACCCGAACTATAAATTATTGAATTTAAGCAGCGTTTTTCTATTAACTGGGCTAATTGACGTTACACTAATGCAAAACTATCAATTAAAGGTTACACAAATATCTATTTCAGGATTTTCAGGTGGTATCAAATATGATACTTTGGGACACATAAGAAAAAAAACTATTTTATTTCAATGTTAGTTTATTTTTAAATCAGTATAATTTTCACATTTAATGCTGATGAAAAGTTTTATAACAATTCCTAGTGAAATTAAAACATAAATAATAAATATACATCACACTCCTAACATATAAAAGTCAAAACTATACAACTTTCGGTACCTTATTTTTCATTAAAATAGCCGTTTCGTTACATACTCTTTCTCTTACGATATCCAAAAGTGGTGAAGAGGTAAAATCCATGTAAATTGAAGTGCCTACTGGTATGGTATCCTGCAAATGCTATCCTACTATCTTGCTAATTGTTCAGGTGTTGGGTACAAAGCCGATTCCACTTTACCTTTACTTTAGATATTACTAGACCTTTAGGTATAAATCCAATAATACATCGTCAGAATTCACTGCGATATAAAGTTTTATTCCTTCTGGGTTTGGTTTACCTTTCACCAGTTGTTTTTTGACCCATCTTTTTGTGTAAGGTAAGATATGCTTATCGATGGAGACATTTTTGTCGCGAACATTTTTACGGCACGCTCTCTCAATCTCTAAAACTATTGATCGTATTTTCCAGAAGCAGTCGTTAGATTGCGTAGATTCTAAAACATCAGCTTCATTTACGACTTTTAAGTACGAACGAATCTCAGTATAACGTCTTTTAGTCATTGCAGGTGCCATTAAGTCGCACTAGTTTCTAGAAGCCAGAATTGATTTATCCTTGGCATACCTAACAGTCCAGTAACCATGCTACTCCCAAAAAACGTTAAATTTCTGCAGCAGCAGAGTTCACTGATTTTTCTGTGCGCACAAAAGACATGACATTTGGACAAAAAATCATGTTTGTAAAGAATTCAGCATTCAAGTACCACTCAAAATATTCCAATATCTTTTTAGATATCAGGCTTCAGGTTGTTCTCTGAGTGATTTTCACTGCACCTGATGTGAATGCGTTAAAAATGGCTTTAAAATCAGTTGTATGCTTCCAAATTACTGGCCTACCTATAGAAACACGCCTCGTTGAACGGGGCAGTAGTTGAAGCGGCTCATCATCAGAGGAATCGCAATCACTATTTGGTTCCTGCAAACTTGGCTGTTCCTTAATCTTATCTATATCCTGGTCTTGTATGCCATCCTCGTCCACGTCAGAGTCCTTCTTTTTATCATCGGAGACGTTGGAGTCCAATAATTCATGGGGAATTGTTTCGTCAGATATACCGGAAATCATTGTAAATGGTTAATATTATTTCCAATAGTGCCCAAAGTATCACATTTGATATGCTCAATTTATCGTATGATATTCACGTTATAATAAAATTTTACGTTATGTACTTACGGAAAATCCAAAGAAGAGAGCTTAACCTTTATAAACAATAGTAAATTACTTAGGAATCCATAATTTAATAATTACTTACCCTTACGTAAAGTTGACATGGCGAAAACTTTGAATTTTTGAAAAATTACTGTCCTATCCTCTTAAACTTTAAGCACTTTGAAGTACGAAAATTGTAGTTATAAATCATTAAAGGTCTACTCTATGGCTTAAATAAAAAAAAATTAGGAAAATATAACAGATGACGCTTTCACGAAGTTTTTAATTCAAGTATCAAATATGATACTCTGGTTCCCAAGAGGATATACGTATAGTGTATCAACTATCTGGTATCCATAACACAGGCCTCGTCGCTTATTATGGAACTAGATGGTGCTGTGTGTTAGTGTCCCAACATATTGGTTTATTTATTTATTTAAACCTAGTAATTTAAATGTTTTATTTTTCACGCAGACCACTTCATCGGGCGGTTTTAAATAAAGATATAGAGTTACTGAAGAGGCAGTGTGCGATGCTGAAGACCAGGAATGTATGTATCGATGCCGTCGCTGATGGGAATATGGTACGCAATATGATATTGTTATATTATACTAGCATTGCCTGCGGCACCGCGCGCGTTCAGATGACCAAAAACCAGGGTATGAAATTATCAAGATAAATATACCTTTTGATAATTATCTCGATAATTATCAAGATAATTATCAAACAGATATAAATAAACGTAGCAATCCTTGTGTAGGTGTTGGTATTTGACTACTTGCCTATCATAATTTACGTTAAAATAAATTATACACTTTTAACAATCAATGTAATCTTTTATTACTATTATTTTTTTATTATTTTGACATATATACATACTTGAAAATAAAAACAGAATAAATTTAACCAACTATATAGACACTATTTAATTAAATTAAAGGTATCTGCCCACTATACCGTCTCATACCATGACCGTGCTAAGACCGTGTCAGGCAAAAAATATTCTTTGTATTGAAAAGTATAAGACTATGCCCACTAGACCGTTCCATCACCGACTAGGACCTTTCCGTCACCAACCAACACCGTCGCGTGCCGTGCATGGAAAGTTAACAATAATTGTCGGCAAGAATATTTTGCCGGTGCCGATACGCTCCATGCTTGGCATGCGACGTTGCCGAACCGGTGCGCGCGGACGGCAAAACGATGAGCACACGGGTTATAACGGCGTATGATGACCGTTCTAAGCCCGTTATAAACGTGTTGTCGCTTGTCTTCTAGTGATAATATTTTGTTTTAAATTATTTATTTTTTAAAACGGCATGAACGTAGTAACGTCGTGATCGACTGATGTTATTCTCTTTCTTCCTCGTCTAAACCAATGGCTATCATTGTTAATTTTCTGTCGGACAAGTTCCTAATAGCCATCGTATAGGTATAGGAAATAGGAGGGTTGACGTCAGGCAGGCGGCCGGTCGTAAAACTTTTTCCAAATCCTATCAGCAGAACAGAAGATGTACTGCGCTGACCCCAAGTGATTGGGAAATGAGCAGGGAGAAGAAGAAGATAGGTATAGGAAATAATTTTCGTAACAAAAATATTCACTAGCCCTTTCTGACGCGGCTGCCTCATGCGAAAACACAGGTGAACTACTACAACTGAGAAAACGGGAACTATTCGGATACGACACGCGGATGATACGCGAATGATACGTTCTAATGGGCAAAGTAGTCCTTGTCGCTCGTTTCCGTGCCTGATACGTTCATAGCACGGTCGTGGTATAAAACGGTGTAGTGGACAGACTCCTTAATGAGCGGAATATCATCCTCATCTTCCTCAACTGCATTAACTCAGTTTGCTGATTGAGTTTTTTGAGATGATTGAGAGAGTTCAGTTAACTGATCGATAGTTTGAAGAGTTACAAATTAAATATTTTCAATTATATTTATGAAAGATAATTATCTACCCATATTTATCATGATAATTATCGTTTCGAACCTTGCCAAAAACCAAATTCTTAGGTCTTACATATTAATATACTCTTACAGTGCAGTTTTTGTATTTTTACTCAGAAATGACACATTTTCCCGCGGTAAAAAGTATCCTATATGTTGACTCGGATAACCAGCTATCACCATACCAAATTTAATCAAAATCCCTCCAGTGGTTTTTCTGTGGGGCGGTAACAGACAGACAGACAAAAATTCTAAAAACTATAGATTTGGCCTCTGTATCGATAGTAATGTTTATTTCAATAAGATTTAAAGAAAATATTTTATGTACAGATTCGGCACAGTTACAATTTTATTATAATAAGTTTAGACTACTAGTTGACACGATAGACGTACCTTCTGTCATAATTTCAATAAAATTTTGGGATATTTGAGTAAATACAACAAAAAAGACTTTCAGTTTGTTCAAGAATTCCACATTTTTTCGGGCAACTTTTCACTTTAAGGGACTATTTAAAACAATAGAAGACACTGGGGAGTTCCACTACCCACCTCCTGGCTCCATCATCAGAACAGCTCGATGGTATGAAATTTTTGTACTGTCAGCCGTATTTTATTTACAGAGCTTCTATTAGTGAAAGTATTATTAAAATCGGTTCAGTGGTTTTGGAGTTTGTCGATTATAAACCAACAAACAAACACAAATCTCGTCAATTTCTCTTTATATTTTTGAATACTTTACTACAAAACGTGGAACAATATGAAATTATAATATGCAAAATGAGATGTTTCATTGTACTAGGAAATATGATCAGTTCTAACACATTTTAGTGGGGTTTTGCTAATTTTTGATGATAAGTTATCCAATTGTAAATTTCATCATACCAGTAACACATGTTCTTAATAAGAGAGGTGATAATATTTTTATCTAATCGATATTTACAGTGACTTTTTCTCTGACATTTTTTGACTCCATGGGCACTTGGACTCCATGGGCTAAGGGTTTCTATAGTCAATGGTATGAATAATTTTGATTAAGGGAGGCGTATTTACGTACCATGAGTAGTTCGTCCATCTTCGCGGCTCCCACTTTAGACGCCGTCTCCCTGACATGGGACGGGGCCAAGGGGTCAACGCATGCAACATCCCACGATAGGGCCCGTCCTCATCTAAATACATATTTTGTAGTTATTATTTTAAGGTTTTGCTTTTCAATTTTATTTATATATAGGTGTCATTTCTGATAAAACACAATTTTTGTCTCTGTTTCGAAAATCGAAGCTCTTTTTAACCCCCGACGCAAAAGGAGGGGTGTTATAAGTTCGACGTCGATGTCTGTCTGTGTATGTGTCTGTCTGTGGCATCGTAGCTATAGCAAACGGATGGACAGATTTCGATGCGGGGTTTTCCATGTGAAAGCCAATTTCCTTGCGGTGGTTCTTAGCTAGCTTAGCAGTGTAAGAGTATCAGCTTTTTTCCAAAATGATGTAAGGCATTTTGGCGTATGATTACTCGATTAAGTGCTTCACGCGTGCCAGTGTTATCGTTAAATGACAATTTGCGTAGGGGTTTTTTTTTTAATTTTTAATATAATAACAGAGGTAAATATGCTCAATATTGGGTACAAAGTTTTATATGTGATTACACATTAGGTGCACATAGCGTTGCTGCTGTTTAGCAGGAAAATCTTCAGGAATAAAGCTTCCAGTCGGCATAATTTTTTCCGACATCGTTATATTTCAGTCAATTTACACAAAACCTTAATGAATTATACACCAAAATCTTTCTCATGAGTCACTCCGTCTCCGTCCGTTGGTGAAAACCATATGAAAATCTATTCCGTAGTTTTTAAGTTTATCGCGTTCAGACAGACAGACGCGGGGGAACTTTGTTTCATAATATGGAGTGCGTTGTATATTAATATAAATATTAGTCATACGTTGTAAATTGTAATGTGATGTATACACCGTACACGTGTCACCGCGAGGTAAAATCCCTATGAAATTATTTACTGAAGCCCTCGAGTGTCGATATTTATGTGATAAATTAGTATTTTATTGACCAATAATATATATATTTAGGAAAAATTTATCGAAAAATATTTGAATCTCCGAAATTGTCCTTTTAACCTTATTTATTAGTCATGGTGTCTTATTCTCATTGAGACTAGCTATCTGCTATTATTTTTTTATGGATTCAGTAACAAACGATCAGATAGACCACCTGATGGAAATCAGTACCTGTCGCCCATAACACCTACGGTTCATGCACTTAGGTTTTATGTAACAAAAATGCAGAACCGCAGGTGCGTTATCACTGTGAGGACTAAGATGATATGCCTCTTTCTTGCCTGTAATTGCGCTGGCTACCTTATCCTTCAAACCGGAACACAACAATGCAATCACTGTTGCTTGGCGGGAGAAATAGATAAGGGGGTGGTACCCATCCAGTCGGACTCCTCAGGCTTGACAGAGTCCTACCACCGGTAAATGCTATATTATAGAGCATTTTTTCCCAACCTTTCTTGTATTAAGCCTTCCCGGACTATAAAAAATATTTTCATGCCCCCGTTTATTTATTTTTATTATAATAACCACACATTATTTTAATTATATTTATTTATTTTTATTTTAAGTTATGCAAAATTAACTGTCTGCGCCCCTCTGATTGGGATCTCCTGTTATAGAGCATTATTATGTCTGTAATTATATGGACTATAAAACTATCTTTTCGTATATTTTTTGAGGATTTATTTAGATTTTTGGTTGCCCAAGAGAACAGATGGTTTTATTTAAAAATCCTAATTCTTTTTCTAAAATAAAAGTAACCTATGTTATTTCTTATTACATTTGAAGGTTGCAAGCTATCTGCTAGTGAAAGTCCCGTCAAAATCAGTCCAGCCGTTTCGGAGATTAGAAGGAACCAACAAACAGACATTTTGTTTTTTTTTTATAAATACCGTATAAAATTTCATATTATTCATTTAGTAAAAAGCTGTTATTTTGACATTACAAAAATATCCACAATATGGGTTTGGGGATCTATGGATAGGTCTTTAAAATTTAGATATATGTTTTTAAATGAGTTTTTTGTTCAAGCCAATAGTTGCAGAGCTATATGCTTCTGAAGACGTAAACATCGAGTCCCTTCTCTTCCTCTAATTTTTAAAATGTGGAGAGGAAATTAAAAAAAGGCGTTTTGACGAATTAAATAAGAAAATATTAAACGTAGCAAAGCTAGCTTAGCAAAGATATTATGACAAGAAATGAAAAATTCATTTATTTAGCGAAGATTAAAGAAATGTTTATAAGATAAGACATTTTACTATAATAATGATTATATTTTAGATAAATTGTAACATTTGTAATCTTATGTATATTTTAATTATTGAATTATTGCATGCTAAAAGGCAGTGGCAGCCCAGTGGTAACGCGCTCGCTCGGGAAACCGAGTGAAGTGGGTTCAAATCCCGGGTCTCGCACTTCTGATATTCATGTGCGAATCATTTCTAACATGATTACCACTTGTTTTACGGTGAAGGAAAACATCGTGAGGAAACCTACATGTCTAAGAGAACCTAGCAAGTTTTCGAAAGACATGTTCAGTCCGTCCGCACTTGGCCAGCGTGGTGGACTATGGCCTGATCCGCCTCGTATTGAAAGGAGGTCCGTGCCCAGCTGTGGGACATTAAAAAGGGCTGAATACAATATTGTAAGGCTGAATTGGGCTGAACATTAAATATATTATTATCAATATCTAAATGTACTAACCCAATTTCGCAATAAAGTGGTTGATTTGATTTGTAGTACCTACGTAATATTAAATGAGAAAAACTTGTGTGTATATATATATATATGTATATAAATTTATTTCGTGTTTCTCGGAAACGGCTGTAACGACTTGGATCAAATTTTGTATTTAGATAAGGTTTTGCTTCTAAATTTATCAGGTACTAATATGATAATTTCACCAACAATTTTCAGACTGCCCTTCAAATGGGAATTCAGATGAACTTGGGATTTGATGGTGTATCGATTTTACTAGAACATGGTGCTGATCCCATGGTATTGGATGAGAAATCGAGGAATTGCTTCCATCTTGCTGCAGAAGTTTCATCGGAAAATGTTCAAGCGTTGATCGAGTATTGTACTAAGAATGCTAGGTAAGTTTTTGTTATTGATTTCGGCCACGATGGCCAATCTCACTGAGTATAGCCAACTGCAGGAGATGGTATAGTGCAACGTGTGAGGGAGAGAGAAACATAACGTGCACTCTATCCCTTTCTCTCTCAAAGTCCGATGGGATAATACTTAGATGTTTTTAATTTTTCGGTTTTGAGGGTCCTATCTCGCCCAACTTTAGATCGGTCTTTTACTGACAGAAGACCCCAATAGCTGTACTTGGTCCGAGCTGGGACTCGAGCTCACGACCTCTGGATTGTAGTGCATTCTAGCTATTAGGTTAATAGTTTTGTACCAAAATGGTTGTAATTGGGATTAATAAAGCAGTATATTTTGTCGAAAATGAAGTTGACTGATGTGACCATAATCATTATATAAAAAAAAAACTATCTTCATTTTTTTTTGAGAACACTAATGCTCATCAATAGCTATTATAAAAAAAAATGGTTGACAAAAAGAGGAGAAAAAGTTACTGAACCTGTTTTGTCTTTGTCTATTTATATATAGACTAGCATTGCCCACGGCTCTGCCCGCGTTTAGATGACCAAAAACCAAATTCTTAGGTTTTACATATTAGTATACTCTTTGCAGTTTTAGTATTTTTTTCTCAGAAATGAGATATTTTACCGCGGTAAAAAGTATCCTATATGTTGACCCGGATAACCAGTTATCTCCATAACGAATTTCATCAAAATCCCTCCAGTGGTTTTTCTCTGATGTAATAGACAGACAGACAGATAGACAGACAAAAATTCTAAAAACGATAATAAAGTTTATTTCGATAAGATTTTCCAAAAAATATCGAATTTACAAAATACGGCTTAGTTACAATTTTATTATATGTATAGATAAATAAACAACATATAGACACATCTTGATAATTAAAATTGTACTACAATAAAAACAGCTTTTATTCTGATAGATGTCTGGTCATATCTCATATTGCATTTTATTTTCATTGTGTATTGGATTATTATAATTTGTTGATAATAATAATGCTTAGGCTTTTTAAGGTTAACCGAAATTTTTTTTGGTCTAACTGAGACTCGAATCCAAGACTTCTAGATCATGGAAGCATGAAACTATTATTATAATAAAAACCAGCGATTTCCCTCGCTTAGCTCGGGTCCCTTGGTACGTTTTCATTTTTTTGAGCGGAACCCTAATTCTTTTTCTAAAATTAAACAGCCTAAGTTACTCATTATGACATCACCTTTTTGCTAGTCAAAGTCCCTTCAAAACCAGTATAGCTGTTTCGGAGATTAGCCGGAACAAACGAACGGACAATATTTTTTAAAATTTTTGTTTTTCTTAAAAGTACTTGTATATAATTTCATATGCATTTAATGAAAAGCTGTTATTTTGACATTACAAACAGACACTTCAATTTTATTTATCTATATAGATTACTAATATTACTATATAAATTTGTTGGTTTGTCAGCGATGGTTTGATAAGATTTATTGCATGACGATAGTACAACTAGTTTGAAAATAGGGACTTCCCGTCTACCTCCACTTGATCATTGTGGTGGACTATGGCCTGATCCCCGTCGTATTGAAGGGAGGCCCACGCCCAGCAGTGGGACTTTAAAAAGGGCTTTAACTACAATAGCGATAATGATTGAACTTTTGTTGATACTTTTCAGACAAATTCTCAAAGAAGATGATTCTTATACATTTGAAATGGAGAAGAAATCTGATGAAGAACTCGCGAGTCAATTACTTAATACTATATTAAGCTCATATGATACTCAAGGTTTGTATTTCAGACTAAAGAATTTATATATCGACGGAGTCCGCCAAAAAAAAGTCATTCATACAAACATACATAGACTTGACACGTTTGGCTCAATTTGTAGTGATCCTACTTGCTCTGCCAGCGGTCGCGGGTTCGAGTCCCGCTGGGGGCATTCATTTGTGTGATGAGAACGAATGCTTGTACTCCAGTCGTGGGTGTTTATATTTATAACTAGCGACTCACCCTCGCTTAGCTCGGGTTCGTTCCTAGAGTATGTATACAATTTACCTTTTTATTATTTATTATTTTATTATTAAATTTTTCATTGGTTTTAATTTATTTCGTGGGACCCTATTTTTTTCTAAAATAAAAGTAGCCTAAGTTACTCCTTATTACATCAGCTATCTACCAGTGTAAGTCCCGTCAAAATCGGTCCAGCCATTTTAGAGATTTGCCGGAACAAACAGACAGACAAAAATTGTAAAAAATGTTGTTTTGGTATATGTACCGTGTATACATCCATACGCATTTAGTAAAAAGTTCTTATTTTGACATTACAAACAGACACTTCAATTTTATTTATCTGTATAGATATACCTGTATAGATATATCTGTTTAAATATTAAAGTTATATATGTGTAGTGTATCAACTATCTGGAATCCCTAACACAAGTCTCGTAGCTTACCATGAAACTAGATAATGCTGTGTGTTAATGTCCCAACATATTTATATATAGGTCAAACACAAACCTTTGAGCTTAATCGCAATCAGCTAAAAAATGAAAATGTTAGAGGTTCTATCTCCTTATAATAAAAAGGCGTGTTTTTTTTTAATTTATATTTTAAATAAACTATGTCCTTCCATCAGGATACACTCCACTAATGATCGCAAGTAAGCAAGGGAAATACGAAAATGCAAAGCTTTTAATAAAGGCTGGACCCAAAACGGTGGACATCAAGATGCCCACTAGTGGGGATACGGCTTTGTATCTGGCGGTTACATCTGCTTGTATTCAATCGAGGGGTAAGTGGAAGGAATATAGGCTTTTTTTATATAGATTTTTATTTTTTTGTTGATTTTTTTATTTTGTTCTTGAATTATTTATTTTTTGGACGTCATCGGGGAAATTATATTAAATTAATTACAATTTTTTTATACATAATAAGAAATGCTTATATAAATCCCGTCATACATTCATTTAGAATTATAGTGCTTAAATCTGAAATTTTGTCTTTTTTAACTAATAATAAAATTAATAATTATAACAAATCAATATCTATATACTAATTATAAAGAGGTAAAGTTTGTGAGTTTGTGAATTTTGAGTTTGTGACGTTGTAGGGGGTAATCACTGGATCTACTGAACCGATTTAGATGAAACTTGGTAAGAAGATAGTTTGAGACCCTGGGAAAGACATAAGATAGTACCGGAAGTAGTAGTAGTGCCGGAAATCATCCTTTAAGGGGGTGAAAATGGGGATGAAAGTTTGTATGGGGAATCAACCTAGTCTATACATAATTGATAAAATTGTAACTGAGTTGAATCTGTACATTAAATATTTTTTAGAAAATCTAATTGAAATAAACATTATTATTGATACAGAGACCGAATCTATGGTTTTTAGAATTTTTGCCTGTCTGTCTGACTGTCTGTTACCGCATCACAGAAAACCCTGGTTATCCGGGTCAATATATAGGGTACTTTTTACCGCGGGAAAATGTTTCATTTCTGAGAAAAAATACAAAAACTGCAATGTAAGAGTATACTAATATGTAAAACCTAAGAATTTGGTTTTCGGTCATCTGAACGCGGGCGGAGCCGCGGGCAATGCTAATATTATATAAAATTACATTTGATTAGTTTATTTATTGATAGCATAGATGTTTTTTTTGCCATACGTTTTATTGCTTTAATTCAAACCGTTTAAACGTTCAAGCGTTGTTAATGCAACGCAACGACCATTTTGTTTCGACTTCAATTAAAATTATTAGTAAACATGCGAAAAGATAATTTCTTATAATATAAATAATATATAATATGCGAATATTCGCGTTATGCATAGAGATAATTATGGGTAATTTATAATTTTCTGTACCACAGATTCGAATAACAGAACTAAAGTGGCGCCGGAGTTCATAGAAACTGTCAAAGTGTTAGTACAAAATGGCGCACATCCATCCACAGAGAATTTAGCCGGAAATTCCGTTAATTCTCTATTATCAGAGAACTATATAAAAGATTTGTCTTTGGCCATCGCTTATGAGTACATTTCCATAAATAGCATAGATTTGACAGAACAAAAGAAACTTGGTGATTTTATTCTACTCAAAACAGAAAATGGCGACATAAAAGTGGAGAAATTAAGGAATGATAAAGAAGAAAGTATAAGCGAAGTGCCTAATATTAAAAAAGTAATAAAGAAACAGAATGAGAATGAATCGAAAGCATCGTCGTCTAAACAAATTGTATCTAAAACAGTAGATGAAGTAAAACCTTTAAAAGTTATGACGAAACCTTCTATGGTGATATTAAAAAAACCAATAAAATTAAGTGTCAATAAGGGGTCGTTACCAATAATATTATCTAAAACGCAAATAAAAAGAATTCCCAATGTTCCAACAAAAAGGGAGTCCGAAGATAAATCTGAAGATGGCGTTAATAAGAAATGTAAGAATTAAAATGGTTTTGGGTCGTACATTCGATTCCCAGTGTGTGAATTATACAAACAGCCCTGGTTTATTTGGATGAGCCATTATTTGAATTTATGTTTGCTATTTTAGAGTTATAGTGGACCAAAATAGTATTTTAATATGATCTTGGTTAAAAAATATGTTTTATTCTTTTATTTTAGGAAAATATTGTGGTTTTATATTTTATATATAATTAAGGAATTTCGCTTTTTTTTTTTCAATAATATATGTAATTTTTTTTTCGTTTAAATGTAAATGGAGTTTTCTAAACGTAATTTGCTTAGTTTCGGTATATATAATTTTAGTTTTTTTTAATCTTTTTTTTTTAATTTACTTATTATAGATAAAAACTTAATTATAATAATAATGTCGGAACTAAGTAAATTTCATTATATTTATTGCTTGCAAGGATTTTTTTTAAATCCCATGCTCCTTGAGAGCCCTCGAAGGATATGTATTAGGGTATTTTTTGAAAATTTAATTACAAAATTAATATGAGAAAATAAAAAAACAACTAAAAGAACATTAATTATTAATTAATGGAATTAAAAATTATAAGTTTTTAAATTAAGTTTTCATTTTAAGTTATATTTATATTAACGTCCCTATAATTCTATAAATGTAACAAATTGTAATGAAAAATAAAGTGACAAATTTTAATGTGAGTAGAACCTTATAAAAGCTGTAGCGTAAGATTCGACCGAGACATGACCACGACAGACAATTAAAAGTGAAAATATTGTAAATTTTAAAAAAACATATATTTTTTCCGTCAATCAATCAATCATTTTTTTTTAAATTTGCTTTATTCCTTTTAAAAGTCTTTATCTGTGGTAGCTCTTAAAAATGTTATGGAGGTTAGAGATATAATACTTATATGGGGGACAAACTAAATTGAGCATTTGTTTTTTAATTTGACAAATTCCGAATTTTGCAAACATACCTCTTACGGGGGCCAAAATTATAAAATTGTTAATTTGATAAGACCGAATTTCCCTTAAATACCCATGATTATAACCATTTATAATTAAATAAACCGTCTTTGTTTATTATTCTAATACTAAAAAATAAAGGTTGTTGGTTTTTATTCATCCAATAAAAGATTTTAAATGTTTGAAGCCTTTAGGGCACATTTTAGGATAAACAAGAGGTTCAATTTTAAATCTAACGTTGTCTAGTCGATTTCGGTTTGACTTTCTATTTAATAGCCTTTTTATTACATATTTACAATGAGATACCTCCGTATAGTCTTCAAAATGATATTAGAATGAGTTTGTTTTTTTTTGTAATATTTTTTTTTCTAGCAAATAAATAATGTATCTTTTTGACATATAAACATAATATCTGGGCTCCTAGTACTATTTTTTTTTAAATAGAATTCATGTGTTCAATTAAATATACGCCTTATTTCTATCGGATTGTGTCGGTAGGTTTTGATATGTTATTTTCATTTTACTTTTTTTTTATTAACGGCCATGTTTATATATAACGGATTACTACAGTATTTTAAGGTTAGGTTATTTGTGTCGATAGATTCATATTTAGTATGAAGAATGATTTTGATAAGTGTTTATGAACGTCGTTTATAGTTTAAAAATATTAAAAAAAAACCGGTCGCGTACTCCGAGGCGTAATGTGTAGGTCATTCTATTAACTTTGAGAAATGCATTTATGCATACCTATATACATACAGGTGGTTATGTGAGACTCCCCGGCTAGAGAAGCCAGTACTAGCTGAAACCCGACAAAACCTTATCTTCTTAAGGGCGGATCCCTATAACCTATTTGTTGTTAGTATTTCTTAATAAGGTTGAAATTTTATATAATTTGTATAGAGATGCGTAAATTATTTATTTCTGATGAGAAATACCACAGATAGATTATTGAGATGTTAGTGAGCTGTTAATTGGGCGTCGCAGGATCACTTACGTGCGAGAAAAGTGAAGTAGGTCTCGATCAAAGTTGACCGAGGGCTGTGCATAGGACAAGAATGCATTGAATGCTAATGGTATAAAACCGATTGTCAAAGACATTTTTGTCTGTCCGCCGAAATGAAAATTGTGATATCAAAATCGACGTTTGAGCGAAAGTCATATATTTGTATAGTTTTCGATTCACTGAATCTAATTATAAAACATTAATGAATTAGCATTTATGTTTATTAGCTCCAAAATAAACAAATATTGCTAATTTTAAGGTAACGGCAGTAAATGGCTTGATAAATCTTTTAACATTTCATGAAGTTATTTTAGACGTGTATATTTTATTTGATATGTTTAATTCCGCCTATGTTTACCAGCTGAAGTTGCGGCCTTCCATTTTTTTTTCATTATATCTAGCCGGTTATATCGAACGAAGCTTATCGAAATCGAACGAATGAAGCTTTTGAATTGATCAAACTTCTATTTTTAGAGTTACGGTTCATGTTCCTTGTATGCCCTAAAGGTGTATTAAGTGGTCTTTAAAATATATCACAGATTACTTTTCCTTGTTGGGCCCTAGGAATTACTATCCTTAAAATTAAATGTTTAAAATTAAATATTTGACGATTAAATTGTTGTTTTAACAACTAAGTTAAGAAATAAATGGGAACAGCTTTCATAGACGAATTGCCATTTGTAAATAATTTCTTCAAAATTTAAACTAGAAATAGTATAATATAATGATACTTGATTTATACTAAAGCATAATTTTTACTAGTTTTTATAATTTCTTTTTTTTATTCTAATTTAAATAGTGTCTTTAGTAAGTAAAAGATTAAACTTATGTTTTTAATATCATATATTTATATTGATGTGAAGTGAACGGCAAATATATTAAGAAAACCTTCGAGATGAAATGAATTGTATTATTGCTTGGTATTTCTGACCGAAAAACCAACTATCACCATTTGCGTGGTCATTACAAAATACTTCACCGGTTCACAGTATGACAGACGTATAAACATTAAACAGATAATATATATTGGATTTTGGAATAAAAAAAATATGTTTTTTTTTTCTCAAACAGACGGTAGATGGCATTGATTCGTCAACTGTCGAAGTCTTATTTTAAAAAAATTTACTAAAATATAACAAAATTCTCTTTGTATTTAGTAAAATTATTTTCAGTGACATTAACTATTGTTAACCGAGGCTTTAACTCATAATATAAACAGCGAAACAGCGCCATCTATAAATTACCTAATTCATGATTTTTCTATTAACATGGGGTCTCATCACGACCAAATAAAAATCAGTTCAAAGAAATGTCAATAGATGGCGGTACATGTATCGATTTGTTATTAAAGTTGTGTTAGTTAACAAACGATAAAAATAGATCCCAAAGAGGTGTATTATAATATAATTTAAAAATATTTATAATTGTGTGTGAAGGAAAACGAAATAATGCGCTCGTAAATCAAATTTGCGTATTTTGATTGATTATTGAAATTTCAGCAATTATGTGATGAGTTTGTAGTGTATATTCACAGATGGCGCTTTTATTTTTTTATGAATTGTTTATCACGGTTAAAAATTGTTAAAATCATTGATTTTTTTTTTTTTCATTTGAATGTGGGATGAATTTTGCAAAGCATTCGTTAGTATGCACATATTTATAAAATAAAACATTAATTATTTGCGAATCAACGACATCTATTATCTATCCAAGGAAACAAAAATAGCCCGAACTAGCGTTGTCCAATTTTTTGTATGGGATAAGGCTTATACTAATATAGTATTACGTGATCTGTGCTAATAATTAGTAAAACTCCTGTCTATTTTCCTTTACATAGAGTATTTTACTAACCAGAATGGGACCTCCATTCTGGTTTTTGTTTCGTTTTAAATTTTTGTTTTCTTTTAATAACACAAACAAATCGATACGTTAACGCCATCTATTGGTACATTTAATTGGACTGATTTTTCACACCTAATTATATGATGAGTAATAGATTTCCGTGATCCAGTGAATACGATCGCTAAAAATCGACTACCAAGGTTCTTTAGATATTTGCCGATCATGAAACGTTAATATATTATCTTTTGTGGGTTGTTAAAATGAAAGGAACAAGTTATTTATTTCACGCAATATTTTCACGGCGATTGATTGCACGGTGTAGAACTTGCTATGTTGAGCGCCATCTAGTGGTGACTTGGTGAGTTACAGGCTTTCACACAAGATATACCATAAAAATGCGTGACTTTTTCCAATTTTTTATACAATAGCTTACATGCTTATATAATTGTAAAAATATATACCGCACCAAAAAACTAAAATTTAATATAAAAAAAAAAATATACCGACACGGATAATTTAAATACCTGCCATTTCGCGCGCTTGGCGTGACGTCAAAGTTTGATATAACAGAGCCTACTATTATGGCCTTTCCATCTATTTCAGATGTTCTAAGCAGTGTATGGTAGTTACTTTAAGCACTTCCGTTGGTGACTGTTCAATTCAATTCTAGAGCGACAAGACCGACCGCAGCTAGAGCATATGTACGTCGCGACACATAGACTATACGAGTGATTGTCGCTTTCGTGTCGTTTGGCTCTAGTTTCAGCAAGTTTGTCGAACTATGATCCATCATGGAGCCTGGTGCCTTTCCTAATTCTATTCCTCCACTGGTGCCTGTTTTCCGTGAGCTTCTCTCATTCATTTCAATTTAGCTGGCATAACTGAGATAAACTGGCAGCACTGGCTATGTTATATCATACTTTGACGTCACATTCGGTCTGACCAATGGCGTTGCGTTTCAACTATTTAGAATTTCGCACCTATATTTGTACTTTTTAAAAATTATTTTCTTAATCAAAAAGAAATTTCATTAAAAATATTGATAAAGACTTAATTCAAAAGCAATAAAGATTATTAAAAAAATATTTCACCTTTATTTAAATGACAAGCGTATTTCCTATTCTCTCTATACATATATAAAAAAAATTGAACCTAAACTTCAAAGTAATTATATAAATGCCGCAGCCAATTTGGTTCAATATCGTTTAATAACTTGCCTAGCCAAGTCATTGAATCAAGTTTATATTTTTCATTTAATATTTGAATTCTTCTAAAGCATTTTTTCCTCTAAAAGTTTATCCCTTTTGGCACTCGCCTAGTATATTTACCTGCTAAGTTTAGTTCTAAGACTTGCCGATTAGATTTGCTCACTTTCATAAACAGACGTTTATTTACAAAATTGCAACTCGAAAAGACGTTTCTTGTTCCTACTTTTTTAGTCTTTAATTATTAATAATAATTGCGCATTATATTATGTTATTTTTCTTACTAAAGTGGACTTCTTTATTTTTTTTCTACCTTAGTCGTTTGGACAAGTTTGTTTCAAAATAAGAACGATAATTTTCTAAAATTTATTGTATTAATGTATTGAATTATGGGTGTATATATTAAAGTAATCTGTAAATAAAATTGGTTGTTTTATTATAAGTACCTGGGCCAACGAGCTTCCAATTTTCTTTTTTTTTTAAACTAAAAACTTAAATAAATATTAAAAAAACAAAAGTAAAAACTTTATATGCGACCGGGATTCGAACCCGGACACCTATGATTGTCAATCTTGCGCCTTGGTCGCCTGTACATGATGCTTATGCCCGAGTGTGCGTAATTATCGAGCATATTTTGTTTCGTGGAATAATGCGAAAAAAAACTGCATGAAAATTCGAAAACACGCGTTTTCCCAGACATAACCTTTCATCTGTAGGTTGACATTTAAAAAATATTGCCGGCTCTGTGTGGGTAGTTTAAAAAAAGAAAAATAGTAAAAACAAGAAAAAACTATATTTCTTAAATTTTTATTTTCATACAAATATAAAAATATTTTTATTGCACCTTTTAAACGGTAAGTTCTAGCATCTGGCCAAGTATAAATGAGTAAGGGCCACTTCCTACACTCCACCACCCCTCCTCCTCCACCGTTCACGCGCTTTCTTTTGCTAATGCTGGACTATTACCGTTTAGACTGTAGAAGGAGCAATAAAAACAATTTTTTTTTTGTAAAATTTAAGTAATTTTATTTTCTTACAGATGTTATGATGTATAAACAGTATATTCCCAAAAGGTTTTCAGTAAATTAAAAATGACCCTGTATATTAATGTAACATGATTGATGTATAATATTTTACCGAACCAATATAAAAAATGTGAATAGAATAAAAAGCACATACGTGCTTTCAGTATTATAAGAGATACGAGCACATTTATTTACCCTCTTTGCCTATTGTGTATTCAAAGACATTCGTACTTAAAAAGGACTAAACTCCAATCGAGCTGACACATTTATAGCCCAAGATATTATTAATTACCAAGCCTTTGGCAAATTGATTTTGGTATAAAGAGCTATATTGTTAACTAGCGACTAACCCTCGCTCCGCTCGGGTTCGTCCCTAGTAATGTTTTAACCGATAGCATAGATTTCTCAGAAATGAGATATTTTCCCGCAGTAAAAAGTATCCTATATGTTGACCCGGATAACGAGTAATCATCATTCCAAATTTCCTCAAATCGGTCGAGTCAGTCAGACAGACAGAGAGACAAAAATTCTAAAAACTATAGATTCGGCCGCTGTATCGATAATAATGTCTATTTCAATAAGATTTTCCAAAAAATATTTAATGTGCAGATTCGATTCGAATCCAGTTAGAATTTTGTTATATGTATTATACAAGTAGAACATTCGTTTGAAGCGATTACTTTCCTTTTCTCTAATGTATATACCATGAAAGGGAACAATGAATAAAAATCTGTTTTTATTATAACTTACACCTTTATTCATTTATTTACATTGCGCTTTTATAATCCACAAGAACTTGTTTAAAATATCTAGTTCGATTTTGAGCAAATTATAGATGATGGCAGCACTGTGTTCAGAATTATATATAATATGTAACTTAAATTGTTAATTTGCCATATACTGAAGTTTTTCATTATTTAACATACAATTTAATCGACTAATAAAGAAAAAAAATAGATAAAATGTATGAAAATAACAAAATTCGTAGTGTTGCCAGATCATGTAAATTAAAATTACACAAGAAATATTTATCGAAGCTTCTAGAATACATTCAAACAAAAGCACCTAAAAATAATTTTAATTTCAAGATATTACACATTTCAATTACCATTAAATATATTTTTTTATAAAAAATAAGTCATTCCATGATAGACCGAATGAATTTCGGTCTAACTTAATTTTATAAATATCGTAAAATAGTCTAAAAACACAAAAGCCTGTTAAAATCCATTATAAGATTTAGCAAAATATATAGAGTATAAAGTAGTTATGCACGTACAAAATTTTAGAAAATATTAATTTTAGTGCAAGAATGTTTGCATAAGTGCTGTTAATTTTTCCAGTATTTGAAGTATTTTATTTTCAGACAATTTCACAATAATATAGATTGTGTCATATAAAATTAGCGCGTTCAAAAACACGCAGTCACCACAAACAAAAAACACCATATTATATTTATTATATATATTAAATGTGTGATTCTATTAATCATACGATGTAATGTCAAAATTTTCAAAATCGAATCAAAATCTGTTCAGTAAACTAAATATATAAACAAATATAATTAATTCATTATATCTCCATGTGATGTTGTAACAGGTAACAGAGAATATGTGTAGATACAAATTAAATATGACTAATTAGGCTAAAACCATACCTCGATAGATTTAAGACTAAGAAAAAAAAGTAATGGGTAAAAAAAAGTTAAGTACACCTAAACCTAAGGACGGATACAGACTAGTCTATCGGTAAATATTTTTATATTATTTTACAAATCACATCAAAATGGGACTCGTTTTCTTGTTTTAATATCTGAAGTAACAGCGGAACAGATTATTCCAGTATTTATAGCTTACGCAGTCCCTTCTTAATGCCTATGTTAATATCTGCCTTAAAACCGAGAAGATTTTTCGTAATGGCAACCCGAAGCCCGAATTGAAGATTAAAAATATTTACACATTGCAAAAACAGTCACTAAATAGACAATTTTCCGAATGTTAATTTTAAAACTAAAAAAATTGTTCGAATCTTAAATTTGAGTTATCACATTCGTTGGAAAATATCTTAAAAAATAAAAAAAAACTAATTATATCGTAATGTTAAGAGTTACTGGTGCGTTATACGTTTTTATCGGTCGGTAGCGCGCGTTAAAATCGATTAGCTGCATAAAATCGGCAGTCTGGCAGAATATTTAGGTAAATATTAATTTTATTTTATATAATAACTATGTTATATTAGATAAGCGAGTTGGTCGAGAAGATATATACTAACAATTTTTTTTAACTTATTGTCTTTAAGAAATTAAAATTATCGTATCGACCGAATAAAAGTATAACGGCACTGCACATTGGCTGTAAAGGTGGTTTCTTACACGAGTAAAAATGCTAAAAAATCTTACGTCAATGTCATTTTTCCCGCCATATTTAATGTCAATAATAAAGTCATGTTTTATGTCAAAACTTAATGATGTCATTAAAAACATAATATATTTATTTGATATATATTTTTTTAAAACTAATCAATAATATATTTGTAACCGTTTGTTTTTTGACTAAATTCTGTACAGAAAACAAGATTTTCCCAACATTTCTTTTAAAATTAAGGTTTATAAGTGAAAGTAGTAGATTTTGTTAGGAAATGGTTGTTTTTGTTTGGAAATTTATGAGAAGTTTTAAAACGGTTACATATATAAATTGTGCATATTTTAGAGTGTTTATCCATGTTATCTCCTGTTGTTGAGTTCATAGCCGTTCTCTTTGCTGGGTGTTTTGGTGGGCGGTGGTTTTGCAACCGCGTGGCCCTCTAGCCTAAGAGTGCTTTGGCGATGAGATGATCTGAAAAGAGATTTGATATATACGTATATAATCAATTTAAACAATTTTTCTGTAGCAATAATTTCACCACTATAATTGTAGGGTTATGGTTTTAATTTCTGTAAACAGCTTATCCTTGCTGCAATCGTGTGCGCCTCTTGCTTGCTTTATGTTTATAAATATAAATTTTATTACTAACCAGTATATTACTCCCGATCATAGACTATCTGTATACTAAATTTCATCTAAATCCGTCCAGCCGGTGCAGTGTGAAGGAGTAACAAACGCACACGCACATTCAAACACACACGCGCATACAAACACACAAATATTAATGAATTACCTAATGAGACAAGTAACAGCTAGCAGAATAAGCAGTATGCCGAGCGCCGACAGCCCCCAGCCGAGCGCGGCGCGCGCGACCGGCGGCACTTTGGTCGCGAGACGCAACATGGACGAGATTGCTTCTGGTAATTCGTCGATACCCTGTGGAAAAAAGGAAATTATATATTAAATATATATATATATATATATATATATATATATATATATATATATATATATATATATATATATATATACTGGCGGCTCGCAATCACTTCGTTCTACATATAATCCTGTTAATAAAACAGACCATATGCTCCTTTACCACTTTTTTCCTATGTATTTAATATACAAAATAGTGGACATAGATGCCCAGCGGTGGGCTAAACCCTTACCTCCTCAAACCACAGTATGGGGAAGACGATGTCTGGGAAGTTCGCTACTTGCTTGATATCAACTACTTGAGATACAGCCAAGTTAATTTGAATCCTGGCTCGAGCCCGCATCGCTGTACCCATTTCCTGGAAAAATATTAAATATTTATTATAATAAAATATATCTGTGTGAAAGTTTACATCTGTATGTATGTAAATGTTTATTTTCCTTTATGCTGAAACTCCTAAACAGATTTGAACGAAATTTAGTGCGCGGATATGTTTGGGCCCGGTATAACACATAGGCTACTCTTAGGCATCTAGGAATAAATAAATATGTTAGGACATTAACACACAGCACCATCTAGTTCCATGGTAAGCTACGAGGCTTGTGTTATGGATACCAGATAGTTGATACACTACACATATATAACTTCAAAATTTAAATACATACATATTATAAATATAAACACCCATGACTGGAGTACAAACATTCGTGCTTAACACACAAATGAATGCCCCCAGCGGGACTCGAACCCGCGACCGCTGGCACAGCAAGAAGGGTCCTACAAACTAAGCCAAACGTGCCGTCATGGAACAGGAATGGAAGTTATTTGATATATGGGCGGAATTAGAAACAAAAACTTTGTTTAGATGATTGAATATTTATTTCCCATTCGTGCATTAACTGTCACCGGATTTGGTTGTCACTTGACATGTCAATGTCAAACCTAACACATGTCATGTAGTAACATTTAAAAGGAACTGTTTTATACGTACTGGTTGGATATCGATGAACAGTCTGTGTGCTTCAGGGTCTGGAGGTGAGATGCCCTCCACCGCCGTGCGAAGATCCTCATCAGCCAAATAGAAGTGCGGGAACGATAGCATTATTGGCGAATCTGAGATATATAATTAAAAAAATTAGAAGTAGCGAGGAGTTTAGGTTTTTAGTGATTTTACATACATTTATGTATATCTAAGTATATATATTAAGTCTCGTTTGCAGTATCAAAATAATAATTATATCGTATACATATAACGAGTTTCTTTATCATTTCCTCGCTTCGACAAGTCGTGAGCATGTAACTATTACATACTTACCCAATACTTACATTATAATGTTAGTATAGTTAAATAAATAATTTGTAATTTCTATGTACTAAATTTTTTGTGATGACTAATAAATATTATTACTTTTAAATCTATAAGACTAAATAAAACAAATTAGTTTACTTAAAAAAATAAAAAAATCGGGCTCGAAGGATCAAAAAAATATTTTATTTTCCACTCACCATATTGACATAGAGAAACATTGAACAGGCCGTTCGGCGCGCAGGGGGGTCCCGCGGGACAGTAGCACTTGTTGTGCTCACCGCTGGCGAAAACATCCTCAGGGGGAGTGAATCTGAAGCCTTGGATACCTGCAGCTGATTCTACATCTTTTAGATATCTGAAAAAAAAAGTTATCAATGACTAAAATTCAAACAAAAAATGTATTTATCACTACATATTATTATTTTTTATTTCTATTTTTATTTAGGGACTTTGTTCGGATTAACTTCAGATACTACTCCACGAATTTCCATACGGTTTTCATCGATAGAAAGAGGGATTCTAGTAAGGTCGATTATAATAATAATAATATTTATTATCTATATTTTGTATTTGTGCAAAAATCTCTCGACTTTTATTCAAAAGTCTTATCTAAATCGACTCACGCGTTTGAAATTAACAATGCACACTCAAACTATATGTAGGTAACTCTTAGAATTGGAATTATCCAGAATATATAAAGGATACACTACAGAATGTAAACTAATATCGACGTGTAATAAAAACAAAGAGCTACTCAAGTTACACATTATATCAATTAATACCGAACGATTGCAACATTTATTACAAACAACAGAACCGGTTATATTTTTTATATCTTGTAGGGTTCGAAGAACATTGTATTGCACTTAATTCTTTGCACATTTTATAAAAAAAACTAGTGTTCGCCCAGTGGTTGATATTCGCCCCCCGTCCCCGTCCCAACCTTGTCGTGGTGGTGGTTGGGTCATTAGTGTCCTGCCATCTAGCCGAGCGCGAAGTCAAGAATCGGAGAAAAATATTTTTTGGGAAATCTCATTAATATAGTCATTATTACCGATACAGAGGCCGAATCTATAATTTTTTCTAGATAAAGTAAATATATTTTACAATTACCAACGATTATTACATGATTTATATATTATGCTATAGCTGCTTCCCCATACAAAGTTTCATGCCCATTTTCACCGCCTTTAAGGGATGATTTCCGGGATAAAAAGTATCCTATGTCCTTTCCAGGGTCTCAAGCTACCTTCTTACCAAATTTCATCTAAATCGGTTCAGTAGATCCAGAGATTACCCCCTACAACGTCACAAACTCACAAATTCATAAACTCGCAAACTTTATTTCTTTATAATATTAGTATAGAAGTCTAGACTTACGAGTACATAGATTTATTAAAGTTACCAACATCGTATAGGTCAAGGTAACTTCTAGCATTTATTAATATATTGCTTTAGCCAACATCAATTTTATGGATTTTTTATATTGGACTTGTTTTTTTTAAAGATGAGAAGAGGCTGTGTGAACTTAGCACCCGACATTGGGAAAATTGTACTTTTTTAGGTTTGTTAACTTCGTTTGTAATAGTGCCAAAACAAAATATTTTTTAGCGAGTAACATAAGTATATGAGCATACAAACAAAAAATTTCTTCTTTTTTAATTTTAGTGTAGATTTTCGACTAAATGTTTAATTAATAAGATAAATAACATGAATAAAAAAAAGTACCTAATATTAAGATATTTTATATAAAACTATCTTTTCGGATTTTTTGGCAGATTACCTATTTAGGTCTTTGGTGCCAACATTTCGAATGATTTACATCAATCATGGTCACGGGAGAGACAAAAATCTAAGAAATGTAGGTATATCTTATATATAAAATTTCCATGTCACAATGTTTGTTACCGTACTCCTACGAAACGGCTTTACCGATTTTTACCAAATTTTATATGCGTATTCAGTAGGTCTGAGAATCGGCTACTATCTATTTTCCATACCCCTAAGTGATAAGGATAAGGGTGGTCCTCCCAGACCCCACACACACTTCGCACACGTATTCCTCATATGACGAAGACATCCACTAAGGAAGTATTTTTAAAATTCAACCCCCAAGGGGGTGAAATAGGGGATAAAAGTTTGTATGAAACTTTTTATTCCTTGGACATATTTGCATGACGTATAAATTGAGTACGACAAAAATAATGAGTTACGTATTCCAGCGTTTTCTAAAATTCAGCCCCTAAGAGGGTAAAATAGGGGATGAAAGTTTTTAGTATATTCTTTATAGCACTTATGAAACAAAATATTGAAATTTGCATATTAAAGGACGAAGGCAAAGGTAGTTTTGGTGATTTAGTCCACTTTTTAGAGATTTTGTTGTGTTCTGCTAGTTATTAATAAAATAAACATAAAATAGTACAAATTATAATTCAAAATTCGATAACACATATAGGTTATTGAGTTCAAGTTTCTTTGCGGCTTCAAACTACCTTGTAAAGTTAGTACTTGTATAAAATCTAGACTTAAATTTCGTGGTTTGAATAACCTAGTTACATCAATGTTTTATTTTACACATTGCTTTTTTAACCGACTTCCAAAAAGGAGGAGGTTATCAATTTGTCGGAATCTTTTTTTTTCTTTTTTTTATGTATGTTCACCGATTGCTCGAAGACTCGATTTGGAAATATTTTTTTTTGTTTCAAAGGGTATATTCCCAGGTTGTCCCATATATATATATATATCGATATATATCATATATATATATATATATATATATATATATATATATATATATATATATATATATATAGATATATAATATATATATATATATATTATCGAAATCGGTCGAGCGGTTTTTAAAAAAATCAACAATAAATATATTTTTTTAAATATATTGCTTAATCGAATATGTTATTAAAGAACTTTCTTCTTACAAATTACCTGCTTATTACGTCTACACTAAAAATAGAAAACTAAAAACTTTTTTACAAAAAATAAAAACCGACTTCCAGCCACTAAAATGTAAAAAATTATTAACTCCGTTTAGTTTTAATTTTTTTTTGTTGTTTTTTTATTTTGTTAACCCCCGACGCAAAAAGAGGGGTGTTATAAGTTTAACGTTTATCTGTGTGTCTGTTTGTGGCACCGTAGCGCTGAAAGGGATGAACCGATTTTAATTTAGTTTTTTTTTGTTTGAAAGGTGACTAAATAGAGAGGGTTCTTAGTTAAAATAAGAAAATACGTTCGGCTATTTGCAGGCTATCAGCTCTTTTCTAGACGTTAAAAGGACATGAGCAACTACCACAGATCTAATATACTCTAAACTTGGTATCTCGATACTTCAATGACATTGGCAACGATTTGGTAACCTTGGCTTGATGCTGCAGCGTCACCTGGTACTCTTTACTAAAATAGATAGATAGATAGATAGATACTTTATTGTACACCACAAAGAAATATACAAAAAGTAGATATAAATAATATATGATGCACAGGAGGCGGCCTGGAAATACAGACATACATAAATACATACATACATACATACATACATACATACATACATACATACATACATACATACAACATATACTGCAGAGATATTTTTAGGCTCATTGAAATGACCTGAATGAATAGGTTATTGTGTTGGGGAGTTTTTAAAATTATAATGTTATTTCTTGTTTATATATAAGTTTTTACCTGGGCGACCGAGCGTCACTCCGAGTTTTTTTTTTGTAAAATCTTATTTTTTCGAAAGAATATACACCTGTATATCATACAGTATATGTAGATAAACTTAAAAAGCAAAACCTTATCTAAATGCAAAATTTGATCCAAATCGTCAGAGCCGTTTCTGAGATACACGAAATAAAATTATACATGTGTAAACAAGAATTGCTCATTTAATATAATAAGATAAAATACGTACGTTTCCGCTTCTAATGGTCGTAGCGTGATATAAGATAATCTATAACCTTCAAACAAATAGGCTTTAAAATGAAATATATTTTTTAAATTGGACTCGTACTTCTACAGATTAGCGCAACAAACAGATAGACAGACGCACAAACAAACATATAAATGAACGAATAAATAAATAAAAAACAAACAAATATATCTATATGGCTTGCTTCCCAATACGAATTTTCATCCTCATTTTCACCCCGATAAGGAATGATTTCCGGGATAAAAAGTATCCTATCTCCTTTCCAGGGTCTCAAACTATCTTCTTACCTTTTATATAAATCGGTTCAGTAGATCCAGAGATTACTCCCTACAACGTCACAAACTCACAATCTCACAAACTTTACCTCTTTATAATATTAGTATAGATTTGAGTTTAAAACAACAGTTCGTTTCAATACAATCGAGCAGATTCAAAACAAAGCTTCAAATCAAAAATTTCTACTCGTTTTTTGGAAAACCACTTAAGAAAAGTCTGACTTCAAAATCACTTTCAAAGATTCACTTATCACTTATACGACATTTTTTTTAAATTATTATTATATATTTATTAAAAATCCAGTCGAGTCTTATTCGCATACGAAGGGTTCCATATCATCGTACATGATATTAAACACTATGTACTAATAGTTTTTTTTTTAATTTTCATAGCGACCATTTTGGTTTTTATTATTTGTTTTTATACCGGCAATAGAAACACTCGTGCATACTGTGAAAATTTGTCTACCTATTACGATTCATGAGATATAACCCGCTGACAGACGGACGGACGGACGGACGGACAGCGGAGGCTTTATTAAGCTCAAAGTCTCGTTGGCACCTTATGCTCGATTTCACCAACAACCCATAAGCTACCACCTACATACGGGATCCCTAGCTTAAAAGTCCCCTAAAGTAGTCCCTAAATTAAATTTCGTTTTACGATCGTCTTTAAGCCCATATTTCGAGCACCTAAATTTAGGAGGCCTTTTAACATTTAGGTGACCCCTAACTGTCGGTGAAACAGAAACTGTCCCCTAACAGCCCCCTAACCATGCTTAGGGGATCCCTTAAACTTAGGTGACGTTGGTGAAATCGGGCATTAGGGTACGGAATCGTAAAGGTTAAAAAGTGGCGTGAAAATCGGTTATGAATTAGCGTGTATATTGAATAACATACATAATAAACAAACTCGAATTCAAAACGTCAAAAACGTATCTCGTTTCTGAGGTATAGCCTGTCCAACATAATTACCATACATAATATATGGCATTAGGAATTACTGACACAGATGTATAAAAATTTCTGCGGAGCCTAGAGAAAGGAGAAGTATTTCCCTTTTGATTTTTCCATTTTACCGGTTACGGTTAGTATAGACTTCGCAGAGATGATATATTTTTCCGCAGTAAATAGTATCCTTTATGTTGACCCGGAAAACCAGCTATCATTATACCAAATTTCATCAAAATCTGTCCCGTGGTTTTCTCAGGATACGTTCTCAGACAGACAAACAGACAGACAAAAATTCTAAAAACTATAGATTCGGCCTCTGTATCGATAATAATGACTATTTTAATAAGATTTTTCGTATTTAATGTACAGAAAATATTTTATGTACAGAATCGACTCAGTTACAATTTTATTATATGTATAGATACAAAGGCTGGGAAGATTGGCTTTAATAGGAATTAAAATGTTGAGGAAAATTTATCTAATTAAATGAAAACCAGTTAATTATAAAAAAAATCTGTACAAAAGCATAGTGCATATTTATGAGGAAAAAACGATAACGTACCAACGTCATATATTTTTGTAAGAATATAAATTTTATCATCATAATTTATCAGAGTGCTTCAAGGTTATGTTTTAAGACCGGTCCTTTGAATTGTGCATAAACAAAAAAGCTCATGATTAAAAAATATATGTTATATACATATATTTTTAAAAATAAAATGAAGCCACCATATTTATCTGTTTTGATTTAACAACGCTTTCAATTCTAATGCAAGTTCTGCTCGCAAATCTTAATGTGATTTTTTCCTAAAATTTATTAAAATATTGAGGTATAATCTATTCTTTCTTAGATTTACCGGATATTTCATATTTCAAATAAAACTATCATTTCCGATTTCGTCGCGGATTTATTTTGATTTTTGGTTCCCGACGTTTCGAATGCTTTACAACAATCATGGTCACGGGAGAGACTAAGATTTTAGACTTCGGGAAACAAAAATCTAAAATTAATCCGCAAAAAAATTTGGCAAAGACAGTTCTATTTAAAATATAAACTATTAATTCGATTCGAAATCGACTCAGAATTAACCGATATTTATCGCCAAGTTTCACACAAACAAAAAAATCGATTCAAACACCACTTCTCTATCAATAACTTGGATCATCGATAGCCAAATTCCATTCAAGAATTCCTCTTAAAACTCACCTAAGAGGCAAAAGTCTGCATAAATCCTTATCGTAAACAAATATTGTGTCGTTTCTGGTGATGTGCGGTGGGAAGATAGATCCGTCCGACCCTGCGATGCTGTTACACTCGTCCGTGGTCCAGTGAGGAAGGCGCTCCTTGTGGTTGTAGCGTTGTACAATACCATACTTGGTTATGTCCGATGCTCCAGTGAACATCGTCACTACGTCCGGAGATGTACCATTTTTCTGTGAAGGGTTGTCATTATGAGGTATATTTAAATGAGTCACAGTTATTTATATAACAATACATTTTATCGCTTGTTACAGATTTCTCAGAGATGAGAAATTTTCCTACAGTAAAAAAAATCCTATATGTTGACCCCGATAACCAGCTACCATCATACCAAACTTCATCGAAATCCCTCCAGTGGTTTTTCCGCGATGCGGTAACAGACAGACAGACAGACAAAAATTCTAAAAACTATAGATTCGGCCTCTGCATCGATAATAATGTTTATTTCAATAAGAATTTCCAAAAAATATTCAATGTACAGATTCGGCTTAGTTACAATTTTATTATATGTATACACATACATTATTTAAGGGAAAACATTAGAATTGAATATTTTACATTTAGTAATCACTTCGTTCTTCTACGTCAATTTTTATACTTAGGTATATCATTATGTATAGGCAGCGTCATATTTTGGCATATTGACTGTATGTTACTCCAACCATGTAATAAAATTCATTCATAATCCGTCCGTTTTAGCGTGAACAGACATACACACACATTAACCATACACAAACTTTTGCATCTATCATAGAGATTTACTTTTGCGTTTATGACATAGCTTGCTGCATTATTATTTTACATAGATACATATTTAAGATATAATACACGAGGACAATAGATATTTGATCAGCTAAAATAAAATAAAAAAACAATTCAAAAGTATTCGACATGGTTCTATTCATTCTGACAAACATATTTTACCTGAACTGAACTGAATTGAATTCCATATTTTAAAATGACATTACATTTTTATTTATGAACCGATTGAAATAAAGCAAACACTAAATATTAAGCAGGTAAAGCTTACCATAATACATTAGTGAAAATCGCACCCAAATCATTAAAGCCGTTTCTGATTAGCGCGCGCAAACTTACAGACAAATGCAAAATTCTAAAAATCATGGTTTTGGGTTCTATTGTGTTAATAAAGACCCCCTAACAATAGTTTTTCTCGAATATCTACCGTGTACAGACAGCGATCAGTTACATATTTATTATATGTATAGAAATATAGAGATATTCAAAATATCTTTTAGTACATATATTTTTTCAAGGAATTTCTCAATTCAACGTGTAACAATACTCCCACTTACACCATAGAACAGCCCAAATTCTTCATATGGTAGCTTCTGTTCTTTAGGGACGACATCTTTAGCTAACTTCAGCAGGGGGTCTTCATAACCCCACAGGAGTTGACCCACAGACACTTCGACGAAAGGTTTGATCTTCAGTATGTCCATGATGGAAGCCATCGCGAGTCGGAGGAAACGCGCTGCGTGCTTTGACTGAGATGTTGCACTCTGTAAATAAAAAAGTAACATTAATATTTGTATAATATAATATGTACCACTAGAATGTATGTTTATTTACAATTTCTATTATTTTAAGTAATATAATTTCTTAGATTCACGTGAGTTTTTCGGATTTTTAGTTTCCTACGTTTCGAATGCTTTACAGAAATCATTGACACTGGAGAGAGGAAGGTTTTTGACATCTCAAAAGTTATTAAACACAAAATTATACATAAATTGAAAGAAAATGGCACCGAAAAACCAAAATCAAAAAAAAACACGAAAAAGTCCGAAATGATGTTTGTGAGGACGTATACGATATACCTAAGTATTATATTTGTTGCGCTGTCACGTAAATAATACTGAACGGATTTTGATGAAACTACATAGTAATATTCTTTATACATCAGAGTAACACAAAGACGATCATCTATAAGGACATTAAAACGATAGTTATATAATATTTTATATTACATGTTTGCATAAACACGTGCAAAGGTTGGTATAATCCTATACACGAGTATGAAGTTCAAGGTTTTTTTTAATTACATATACGTATGATAGACTATAACTATAGATATACTATAGATAGATCTATAGATAACCTATATATAAATAGGCAAAGACAAAATAGTTTAGTACCTTTTTCTCTTCTGTTAGTCAAACGATTTTATCATTTTCTGTTTAGCAGCTATTGACAAGCTTTTACCAATTACACACATATATATATATATATATATATATATATATATATATATATATATATATATATATATATATATATATATATATATATATATATATGTTTTTCAAAAATTTTCAATAGTGATTACGGTTTAATTTCAGCCATTGAGCGGACACTAGCATACGTAAATATAAAACAACTAGGGACGAACACTCGCTCCAGTCGGGTTCGTCCCTAGTTACGTTTTAAAGTTTAGTATAGATTTCTCAGAGATGAGGTATTTTCCCGCAGTAAAAAGTATCCTATATGTTTATCCGGGTAACCAGCTATCATCGTATCAAATTTCATCAAAATCTGTCCAGTGGTTTTCTCAAGTTACGTTCCAGACAGAGACAGACAAAAAATCTAAAAACTATACATTCGGCCTCTGCATCGATAATAATGTCTATTTCAATAAGATTTTCCAAAAGAATATTTAATGTACAAATTCGATTCAGAATTTTACTAAACGTATGAAAGTCGTCTCTCCTGAAGTTACTATTAGAGAATAGGTTATGCAAGATTTATGAATCATTTAAAAAAAAAACGAACGAGATTCTAGATCTTTTTAAGTTTTTATATAAGGAAAAAGAAATAGATTTTTATATTCAACATCGAAAAAGGCTGCAGGCGACCACATTCTTAAGGTGTGTTATCCTACTAATCCATACAGTATAGTATTATATGATCTGTGTCCATACTAATATTAAAAATGTGAAAGTTTGTTAGGATTGATGGATATTTCTTAGTAAATTACACCAGAACGGCTGAACGGGTCTGGATGAAATTTTGCACAGAAATAGATTATAGTCTGGAATAGCCGTACATTCTTCCCCACGGTAGAGTATTCACCAAATTTTGTTATTGTCCCAATAAAAATAAATTTTCACTCAATGAAACATTTACAAAAAAATCTAGGTGCGTGGAGCCCCTAATCGATGCGGGTCTCTAAACAGTTGCTTACACTGGCTTATGGATAATAATCCGGCTCTGGTCATCAGAACTGAACCAATAATAATAATAATATTTTTTTTTTATAATTTTAAATTTACTATCCAAAAAATAAATACACAATACGTAAAATGTCAACTCTGTAGGACAAGAGGAAGATAAGAGGTTCAGTTCGCAATATATGACCCATACACACATACCAACTAACAAACATTGCAAGTTGAATAAAAGATTGTAAAAATCATTTACATTATAGCTCCTTTGACCTTTTAGAACAGGTTCGATTTTCATCGGGTAATTTTAAGACAATTTTCCTTTATTACTAATTTATTTGCCAATTAGTATCATCCTAAAACTTGTTTCGTTTGTTATTGCAAAGAAATAGTTTTAAAACTAGATATCGAGGCCTTGAATTTTAAATTACATGTAACTTCTGCGTGCTATCAAGTATGGCTGGGTGCCAATAGGAACCTATTACTGAACTCCCGCTGTCCGTACGTCTGTCTGTCAGCGGGCTGTATCTTATCAACCGTAATAGGTAGAGAGTTGAAATTTTCACAGAGTGTGTATTTCTATTGCCGCTATAACAACAAATAATTAAAAAAAACAAGATGGTGAATTTCAAAATGGTAGCCATGCAATTAAAAAAAAACACTAATATTGAACAGCATCTTTAGTCCTATTAGGAGTAATAATAATAATAACAATATACGAATATACGAAAATAAAAAAAAACAAGATGGCGAATTTCAAAACAGTACCTACATAGTGTCATATCTTATACGATGGTCCGGAACCGGAACTTAGTGGGCGAGTCCGACTCGCACTTGACCTTTTTAATATATCAATAGTAATAATAATAACCTTTGAATTTTTTTGTCATCATATAGTATAGAAATTTCAAGATGTATGTACATATAGACATACATATATACCCACTTATATGCTTATTTGTTTAAACGACCAATACTTGTTGTACTTTACAGTAGATTTTTTTCCCTCTATTTTAAAAACAAAGATTTATATTTACGTTTTTAATTTTTTTTAAGTAAAATATTTATTTAATACCAATAGAATTGACATTTAAAAGTCAATATAATTCTGTATTAAAAACTCTTCCGGTAAATTGGTCGTTTGAAAAAATAAGCACTGAGACGACATATTAAAAATATTTATGTGGTTTTTAAATTAAAATATACATAATTATTATATAGATACTAAAGTAAAATAAAAATTTGTTTGTTTGTTTGTTTGTAGGCGATAAACTTTGTAACAACTGATTCTGAACTGATTGAAAAACTACATCACCTAAAACAAACATACATACATAGGTAGTAAAAATCGTACTTTTATTATACATTTGTATGTATGTTACTCCTTTACACTGAAACGGCTGGACCGATTTGGATGATATTTAGTACACACTAGCGTCTCACGGTTAGTATGAAATAGAAATCTTTGAATTTCTCGGTTATTCTGTACTAAAATATGCACGTATTATACATATAAACCTTCCTCTTGAATCACTCTATCTATTAAAAAAACCGCATCAAAATCCGTTGCGTAGTTTTAAAGATCTAAACATACATAGGGACAGACAGACAGCGGGAAGCGACTTTGTTTTATACTATGTAGTGATGTAGACTATGTCCTGGACTAGCATATTAGCTATTATGAGGAATCTAGGGACGCATTGAAGCGAAGCGAGAATACAACAGTATTAATAAAAAGGAGCTATAGTCGTAATATAAGACCTATTTATCCAACATATCTATCTATCTACATAGGAAATTACATTCAAATCCGTCGAGCAACTGTAATTGGTATTATTAGTTTTAAAAAAAAGGTTAGTATTGAATGACATAATAAGGAAGCTCAAGTTGTGCCTTTAAGTTAGTTTACTTCATTTGACACACGTTTGGGTCAGTTTGTAGTGACTCTACTTGCTGTGTCAGCGGTCGCGGGTTCGAGTCCCGCTGGGGGCATTCATTTGTGTGATGAGCACGAATGTTTGTACTCCAGTCATGGATCTTTTTATTTATAATATGTATGTATTTAAAGTTATATATATGTAGCGTATCAACTCTCTGGTATCCATAACATAAGTCTCGTAGCTTACCATGGAACTAGATGGCGCTGTGTGTTAATGTCACATATTAGGTATAATAGGTGAATCAATCTGCATAATATAAAGCAATCTCCGCGATATTGCTATTCCATTAAGGGGCATTTCCTAAGCCTAGTCAAGTTTGAGGGGTCGGCCAGCGCCTCTCGAACGACCGCTCAAACTTGGCTTTATTCTTAGAAAATGCCACTTTATCGAATGTCGTTACCGCGGAAATTGTTTTGTTTTATTTAGATTTCGTAGTTTTTTTGAAGTTATACTGCTTTTGGCACGTTTGGAAAAAAATAAGAGAGTAAAATTTTTACAATGCGCGCGCACACCGACAGCCAAAAAGCGACACGATGAAGTTAGCTGCATTCCTTTTACAAACAGAGTTGTGACATACGGGATGAAATCTTTAGCTATTTTTGTTCTATTACGCCAAAGAAGTATAACTTCTTACGTGCGTACATAAGTACACACACACTTTTTTTCTATATTGACTGGACTACCTATTTTATCTGTAAGAGTAACACATACAAACTTTCGATTTGACAATTAAATATTTCGTTTTAATACCCACAAAAAGTCCTATTAAAATATGTTAAATTATTGTCCAACGATTTGTGATTGAACTTATAATTTTATTATCAGCACGTTTTTTGTATACATTAAACATTTTCATTTCTATATGAAATCTTAGTTGGTCTAACGGACATTAGATTTAACTACAAAGGAAATTAAACTTTAACATTAATGCGATATGATTCATTATAGCTTATTAGTGTAGATCGTCTTATTTATATGGTGCATATTATAAGGAATATTAGAGCCTATGGTTAAGTGATAAGATTGCTTTTGGCATACAGGTATGGGGTTCAATGCACTAGCAAGTAGGTCCATCACGTATGAGTAAAGAAATCTTGTAGGGTGAGTATGCTTTAGTGAAATTGTACAATTTTTTCTTCTTCTTCTATATTATGTGTAAAGAACATACAGAAGAATTAATTCTGAACTGGCAGTTTGTGAAAAGAAAACAGGATTCCCAAGGATGCTAAAAGTTATATAAATATATTATACATTCTAAATTCTAGCCCACATATAGTTGAAGGCATTACACAATAAATTTCTTGTGAAAAGTCGGGTTGTTATTATTTTATTTACTATTTTTTTTTGTAATCTATACCAATATTTATAAAGAGGTAAAGTTTGTGAGGTAATATCTGGATC